TTCAATGTTTATGATGTTAGTTTGGCGATTTGATCGCACGAATAAGTCCGTAGGATGTTCTTGAGGTTGTGTGTATATGTGGTTTGGAGCCCCGAGGGCTCGGGTGAGATTTGGATAGGCCACGGATGCATTTTTGGACTTTGAAAAGTTGCTGGTATTTCTGATCTGCAGGCTTCGCATTTGCGAAGCCAGTCTCGCAAATGCGAGCCTTGCATCGCAAATGCGAGAAAGGGACTGTGCAGGCCTGATCGCAAATGCGATCAAGTTGTCCGCAAATGTGAAGTAGGTCCAGTCGCAAATGCGAACCTTTTGATCGCAAATGCGAAAGTCCCGAATTTTTGAAGTGTTCGCAAATGCGAACTAAGCTTTGCAATTCCCATATCTGCAGAGGTCGGGGTTCGCAATTGCGAACCCATGTTCGCATTTCCCATATCAGAGACCTGCAATTTTACACTTAAACGATTTTGAACCCCATTTTTCATATTTTCTCAAACCCAAACACACTTAGGCGATTTTCCAAGAACAAGTCTTCTTCCAAATCAATTGTAAGTTAGTTTTTACTCATTTCTTTCAATCATTAACATCTTTTAACATGATTTCAACCAAAAATCAAAGATTTTCATGGGGGAAATTGGGTGTTTTGGGTAGAACCTAGGTTTTTCAAAAATTGGGGGTTTGGACCTCAATTTGAGGTCCGATTTCAAAACAAATTATATATTTGAGTTCGTGGGGGAATGGGTAATCGGGTTTTGGTTCGAACCTCGGGTTTTGACCACATGGGCCCGGGGGCGATTTTTGACTTTTTGGGTAAAACTTTGGAAAACTAATTTTCATGCATTGGGGTTGATTCATTTAGCACTTATTGATCTAATTAAGTAATTTGTGATTAGATACGAGCGAGTTGGTGGTGGAATCAAGGGGTAAAGCTATAATTGAGGCTTGAGTTGTGTTCAAGGCATCGAGGTAAGTGTCCGGTCTAAACCTAGCTTGAGGGATTAGGAGTTGAGTCATATTTGCTATTTGTTTCTTGATGAGTACGACGTATAGGCATGGTGACGAGTATCTATGCGTTGGTGTCAAGCATGACCGTGAGTCTAAATTGATAGTTCTTGTGTTCTTAAATGACATTTCGGATGCCTTAGTTGATGATTCTTGAAATTTCGTGAAGAATTAGTTTATTCTCGTGGACTTTATTTATGCTTGAGCATTGATATTAATTGGACTGAGTAGGAGTCGAGCTAGGATTGGTTATGCTTGGGAAATTTCTATGTTGTTTTTGTTCCCTGCCGGGATTTATTGTGATATTGTGTTGGATTATACTGAAATGGGAGCGGGTGGTACGCCTACCACAAGTTATAATAAAATGGGAGCGGGTGGTACGCCTACCACAAGTTATAATGAAATGGGAGCGGGTGGTACGCCTACCACAAGTTATAATGAAATGGGAGAGGGTGGTACGCCTACCACAAGTTATTATGAAATGGGAGCGGGTGGTACGCCTACCACGAGATTTGATGAAATGGGAGCGGGTGGTACGCCTACCACGAGTTTTGAGAAATGGGTTCGGGTTGCACGCCTGCAACGAGATGTGTACTGACAGTGAAATCCGTCTTTATTCTCCTTATCCGTGTTAGAGTTAAATTGTTGATTTTCCTTATTATTCTCTTGAAATTTTGCATTACCTGTTGTCCCCGAAGCATGATCCCCTCCCCAGTTTTATCTTGTTTATCTGCTGTCTATCTTCCGCGTATATATATATNCCTTGTTTGTGATTGTTGTTTGGGTGAGGAAGAGTGTTAAAGCACGAAGGGTGATGTCGTGCATTGTTTGCTATTGTGAGGAAAGAGTGTAAAGCACGAAGGGTGATGCCGTGCACATTTTATTATTCTAATTGCTTTGGTGAGGAAAGAGAGTAAAAGCACGAAGGGTGATGCCGTGCACGTTTTCATAATGTTATTGCTTGGTGAGGACGAGAGTAAAAGCACGAAGGGTGATGCCGTGCACTTATTTGATTTCTGCTTCTTGTTGACATGGTAGTTATGTTGTTCCTTTCCTTACTTGATGCTTTATTCGGAACTGTTATCTCCCCGCAACGTGTTTCCCCCTCCCATCCTTACTTGTTTATTCCTGCTTTACTTTCCGTTGTACATTATATAACTGCACAGGTTTATTTGGTAGTCTGGTCCTAGCCTCGTCACTACTTCGCCGAGGTTAGGCTAGGCACTTACCAACACATGGGGTCGGTTGTGCTGATACTACACTCTGTGCTCTTTTGCACAGATCCAGGCCCCGGAGTAGCATTTGGTCATCAGCAGTAGATTGGGAGCTATCCTTCAGTCCAAGACTCCGAGGTAGACCTGCTTGCGTTCGCAGGCCCGGCGTCTCTTCTATCAGTTTTATGTTCTGTTGTCATTTGTACTCGAGACAGACTATGTTCTTTTCTTTCAAACACTTATTTGTAGTAATCCTAGACAGTCCGTGGATGTGTGACACCAGGTTCTGGATAGAGGCATGTGTTGGTCTTCAGGATATTTTGGTTTTATATTTTATTTAAGACTTCCGCTAAATTTCTTATTCCGCTGTTATTTAATTATTTATTTCCTGTTAATTTAATTGGTAAAAAAAGAATTAAAAACAAAAAGAGTTAATGATTTCTAAGATCGTAGCTTGCCTAGCTTCTACGAGTAGGCGCCACCACGACTCCCGAGGGTGGAAAATCCGGGTCGTGATAGGCAGTGGGAACTCAGGGTTCGCATTTGCGATATATTGGTCGCATTTGTGACCTTGGCAGGGGAGGCCCATCTTCGCAATTACGATGGTTTTGTCGCATTTGCGACCGTCGCAATTGCGACCGTCGCAATTGCGAACCAGGTGTCGCAAATGCGACATCTGAGGCATGTGCACAGCTATTAATTTCGAGACTTAGACCATTTAGCTCATTTCCTTTCATCTCTTGGGCGATTTTGGAGCTTTTGGAAGAGGGTTTTCAACCTAGCACTTTGAGGTAAGTAATTTCTACATAACATGAGTTAAATACATAAATTATGGGCAGATTAACATGTGAAAATTAGGGAAAATCAAGGGTTTTAGATGAAAAACCTAGAGATTGATAACAATAAGATTTACCCACGAAATTTGTTAGGGAATGGAGTAAAAATCATATATTCTTGATCCTTAGGTTATGGGTAGCAACTTTCTTCAAAAATTTCCGGAATCCGGGCATGTGGGCCCGGGGATGAATTTTAGGAACCTTGCATTTAGGGTTGAAAAATTGGTTTAATAATTAGGATATGAACTTTTGAGCATGTATTGACTAGTTCTTACCCCATTTGAATAGTTTTAGATCGTTCAGCTCCAATTTGGAGGTTTGAGCGCATTCTTGAATTGGGATATAGGCTTCGGAGCGAGGTGAGTCTCCTTTCTAACCTTGTAAGAGGGAATTGTCCCCATAGGTGAATTAATTGAATATGTGCTCCTATTTGTGGGGGCTATGTACGCACGAGGTGACGAGAGTCCGTGCGTAGCTACTATTATGCTTATGTCCGGGTAGTCTAGGACCCAAAAGCATGTTTACTTGTAATATTTGAAATCTTGTTGTCAAATTGAATGCTTGAAACATACTGAAATGTATAAAAGAATTTATAAAAACTAGACATTCGTTTCTTGACTTTTAAAAAAAAGTTTTCCTTTTATTGGATGATTGATTCCCTGATGGTTTCTTGATTGACCGTTTGGAATGTTTATTTAAGTTTGACCGCGTCACATGTATGATTCTCGAGCGGGGTGATAGATGCATCTATGGTTCGCGCCATTCGACCCTCTGGCAATGCACAATTTAAATATTGTTGGATCGGGCCGTACGTCCTCGGCATGATTTGCACATGCTTGTATTGCTTGCCTTGTAATTTACTGAAGTTGATATTGCTTCTTCCCATCTTGAGAATATGTGTATAAATGATGAAAGAAAAAAAAGGAAATTAGAAATTTTCATATAAAAGAAAGAATTGTTTACTTGCGTCACTCTATTGAATTACATTCGTGTTTATATAAAGCCTCGTCTTGTTATATTATTGATGTATCATCATTGAACCACTAGTAAGTGTCGAAGTCGACCTCTCGTCTCTACTTCTTCGAGATTAGGCGGGATACTTACTGAGTACACGTTGATTTCGTACTCATACTACACTTGCTGTGCATTTTTGTTGCACAGGTTCATGCGTGGCTAGCGGCTTAGTGGCATAGCGGCATGGTTGGTACGGAGACTTAGGTGAGCTGCATTTATCGAGACGACCGGCAGCCAGCAGAGTCTCCTTCAGAGTATTGTGCTGTATTTTCACTTCTGTCCACTTTGTATTCCGGACAGTTACTGTATTTTATTTTATTCCGTAGCAAATGCTCGTGCACTTTGTGACACCGGGTTCTGGGATGATTATGGGGTATTTTTGTATTGACTTCTTGACATTATATTTAATTTGAAATGAGTATCTTTTACTAGAAAAATTGAAGGAAAATCAGAGTTTTCACAATTATTTAAATGAGAATTTAATTAAGTATTTATGGTTGGCTTGCCTGACAACAGTGTCCAGCGCCATCACGATCCTTAGTGGATTTTGGGTCGTGACAAGAACCTTTCCCTATCTGGTTCTCATATGAAGTTTGTTAAATCATCAAATTACAAATGCATATAACTTATCAATAAATATACTGAATTGTCCTAAAGTTATGATTTTTAGTTTAAAATTTCAAAATTTCAGGACAAAATAAGTAATGGCTAATCCTGAAATAGCAGACCTAAGAACGATTGTTCGTGTACTTCCCCCTTTCTTTATCCATTGCTTGTGAGGATCATACAGTAAGAGGACAACAACGAAGAAAAAGATTTTTGAATAATAATATTTGAAAGATAAATAATTTTATTAAATTCCTAAAAGGAGAACATTTCAAAGTCACTTTTGTGACACTGATTTTATTCATTATTTTTGTGTTTATGCTGAAGAATACTATAAAAAATTGACATTGGAATTGTAGGTTTGTCCAGGTTTCCAGCCAACAGGAATGACATTGGGAGCAGTAAGTTTCTTATTGAACTCAGTCGTGAGCCTAATAGAATATGGAGCAGGCTGTGCTGAAGGGTTAATATTAGTACTCCATGTTGCCCCAGACACATGATTCATAGTTATCGACTGTGTAGATCTTCCTGGCACAAGCTCCACTAAATTAAGATCTCCATCTCCATTTTCAAACTCAACATTTACTGATAAGAAGTTAGCATTAGATCCCGGATCCACCTTGAACGCTACATTTGTGTTCTTGTATTGGCACGGTACCCTACAATAACAAGTACAACCGGTAGAACAAATATTTTTTTGTGCTATCAGTATATATAATTTTATTCAGAAAAGTATGTACCTTTGGTAAGAGATTGCGATATTTCCCATATTACGTAATGCGTCAGCTTGTCCTGGCTTGGCCATAGCTCCCATGGCAGTTCCACTTAGATCAAAATGAATAGCACCTGAACACCCAGGGCATTCATCTGTAATGGTTACAGTCACTGGATTTCCTGAGCAAGGGCCTAGATTACATTGCACCTATAATTTCAAGAGGTATAAGTCATTCACAAAGTCTTAGACCTTAGATCAATTTATCAGAGGATTTCGCTCATATATACTGACAGTGCAAATTAATTTTTACACTATTAGTTAGTGCATTTTAATATGTTATAACATGTTACTGGAAGTGACGAAAAACTAAATTATGGGCAAGAATTAATATGGACCTGGTAGCAAGCTCCGCAGCCTAAGCCTTTCCTGAAGAGAGGAGCATTTCCAGCAGATACAAAGGAATTATAAGGGGCTTGTGATACAGCGTTTGTGTATCCACAAGCTCCTCCATCTTGCATTAACAAAAAGGAAAATTAATTGTATGGTCCAATTAATAACAGCGCTCATAGAAACAATTAAAAAGATCTTTAATTAAGTATGTACCTCTCTAATATAAATAAATTAATGAAAATAAATGCTGTATGCAAATTAATAAAAAAAGTTTTACATAGAGTATAACATCATTAATTACCACTTCCTGCTCCATTTGGAGCACCATAAAATGTTGCTACAGCTGGTTGAAAACCAGCTAAAGATGCATTGAATGATTTAACATGTGTGCAAGTGCAATATTGTTGAAACAAACATAGAGCTAAAAAAGTGATGATGAGATGGAGATTAAAAGCCATAATATGCTTGATTTACTAGATAGAACAGGAGTTTATTGTCCTTAATTTTTTTTCTAATTGCTTGGAGAAACTCTATGTTATGGTTGCTCCTTTTATAGTGGAGAAAATATAACCCTTACCAAATGTTAAGGAATATTTGATATCTAAAAGATATTAATGATTCTCCATGTTATACTGTAGTTTTACTTACCATAATGGCAATATATTGAAACAAATTACCAAAGAAGTACATATAAGTCTTGATACATTTATAATAAGTTAAGAGCTGATCATTGAACAAATTATGTTACGCAAAGAAGATCTTGCTAATTTACCAAAATCACCCCTAGGTTCATTAAGGGACGATAACTACTTACTATTTCACATGAAATTATCTCGTTCACTTGCCAATATTCTTTAATATATTTTTGTCTATTCTGTTAAAAGATCTTGAAAATTATTTTCAGAGTGCTATGATTTGAGATACTCTTCGAACTATTATAATATTCAGTAAATTTAGCAAGTCAATAAAATTATTGTATACGGCGAAATCGGAGGGTCCGTTTTCCTGTCATTAAGGTACTTCGGAAGGTCACCTCGAAGGCTCGAGGCCACAGCTGAATATCCTCCCTCGAGGGTCGTCAACACCCGACCCCAAGACGATGCAAACCGCGACTATGATGAAGATGGGGAGTTCCCAATGCACACGGCTAAGACTGACAGGGCCTAGCCGGTCTACTCTGAACCCGAATCAGGGTGTCATGTCTAGTTGTCTCATCCCCCATCTTTACAATTAATGCATTTTGTACTATGTAGCGACTCCCCTCCTATATAAAGGGGATCCTTATTATTTTGTAGAGGTCTGTTGCTCAAATTACTCCACACGAAATATAGAAGAACATTCTCTTTTCACTCTAACATATTCTCTTGATATTGTTGCCCTCATTTATTACATTCATACTTGTTCTTCATTTATTGCTTATCATTGGTCATAAAAAGCCTTCGTTGATTATCCTACAACTGTTAGCCCTTCCCCGATTACCCTTAGTAGCTCAAGCCCGAGCCCGAGCCCTAAAATCGACCTCGAGACTTCGTATCGGTCTACCCGAGGTCCCGATTGGCTAGCTCATCGGTTTGATTATAACTTTATCTTTATCTCGCATTTTGTCTCTAAATTTCATACACATAGCATCATCCGCTTAAGCAACTAGCATAAAAATAGATCACGTATTTTTAGAGTCCCATCAATAAATTTAATTGTTATTACCATTTTCACGGTAAACAGTTTGGCGCCCACCGTGGGGCTAAAAATAATAGTGATTACTTTTTTGCTGGTTTCATCTTATAAAGCAAGTTATCTTTTCACACTTTTTCTTGTCCAAGATCTTCGGTTGCAGGTAAAAATGTCTAATTCAGTAAACAATAATATTGAGAACCACAGAGAAAATGGTGTGGCCGTTCCAGGTGCTGGTAAGCCGCCGCAAAATCTTGAGAACGTGCCAGGACCGATTCCGGCGGACGGATTCTCATGCGACGCTCGACACGTTGAAATAAGCTCCCACACTAACAGGAGCATACACCAAGGCAACCAACAGGAAGCCCAAAAAACCCCAGCTCGGGAAGAATGGGAAGTTAGCGTTCATGCTATTTTTGAAATGTTGCAGGCACTACAGCTGGCTATTACTCAGCTGCAAAGTCACCAGAAGACTCCTAGCACGGTAGCACCGGGGACAGCTCCCCTGGCCGAACAGGTACCAGAGAGGTCAAGCAATAATGGGTCGATAGCCGATCCTGCCATCGTAAAGATGCTCGAAGACCTCACCAGAAGGATCGAGTCGGGCAAAAAAATGATAGAAGCCAACGATAAGAAGGTCGAGACTTACAACTCAAGGGTCGAACAAATTCCAAGAGCGCCCCCGATTTTGAAGGGTGTGGACTCGAAAAAATTGCTGTAGAAGCCGTTCCCACAGGAAGCGGCCCCGAAACCCATTCCTAAGAAGTTCAGAATGCCGGAGCTTCCGAAATACAATAGTACCTCGGACCCCAATGAATGCGTTACCGCGTACACCTGTGCAGTAAAGGGCAACAATCCGTCCTGCTGAAAAAATTTGGAGAAAAACTTTCTAAAGGGGCGATGATGTGGTATCATAACTTGGCCCCGAACTCTATAGACTCGTTTTCCATGTTGGCAGATTCCTTTATAAAGGCGCATGCCGGGGCCATCAAGGTGGCCACCAGGAAATCTGACGTCTTCAAAATCAAACAGAGGGAGAACAAAATGCTGTGGCAATTTGTGGCCCGCTTTCAAATGGAAAGAATGGAACTACCACCGGTCTCCGACGACTGGGCGGTACAGGCCTTTTCTCAAGGTCTGAATGAGCGAAGCTCGGTAGCTTCGAAGCAGCTGAAAGAGAACCTGGTCGAATATAATGCCGTGACTGTGTCGGACGTTCATAACCGATACCAGTCAAAAATTAGGGTCGAGGACGATCAGCTGAGGGCCCCCTCCGGCTCGGTATACCCAAGCAGGATCTTGGAAAAGGAGCCAAAGCAAAAGAAAGAAAGATATCAGCCGTACCCCAAAGATCGAAGGAACGCCCCAAGGCGTAACCCACCTCGAAACGATCGAAGGATAGATCGAGGACAGAATCCTCGGGGACTCATCAACCGAGCCGGATTCGACAGGAATGCAGGACCAGCAGAGGCACCTCACCTGTCAGAATACAACTTCAACGTCGATATATCGGATATTGTCTTCGCCATTAGCAAAATCAAAGATGTCAACTGACCCAGACCTATGTAATCAGATCCTTCGCAAAGGAACCACAACCTGGTGTGCGAATTCCACAACACACATGGTCACAGGATCGAGGATTGCCACCAGCTCCGAGAGGAAGTAGCCAGACTACTCAACAAGGGTCATCTCCGGGAATTCCTAAGTGGCCGAGCCAAAAACCAGTTCTGAGAAAGAGAGGCGGCCAAGAAGAATGCAACGAGCGGGCCGCAACATGTCATTCACATGATCTTAGGAGGCGTTGATGCCCCGCAAGAACCCGTGATGAGAAAGACAAAAATATCCATCACTAGAGAAAAGCAAACTCGGGGGTACATACCCGAGGATGTCCTCACGTTCAGCAAGGAAGACACTGAGACCTTGTCTCAGCCTCACAATGACGCACTGGTAATCTCTTTCCTCGTAAATACAATTCAAATAAAACGTGTGGTCGTGGACCCAGGTAGCCCGACCAACATTATCAGGTAGAGGGTAATAGAGCAGCTCGGACTGCTCGACCAAATCGTACCCGCCACTCGAGTCCTCAACAGATTCAACATGGCGAGTGAAACGACGAAAGGGGAAATCACCCTCCCTGTCAGCGTGGCCGGTACGACCCAAAATGTCAAATTTCATGTCATCGAAGGAGACATGAGGTACAACGCCTTGTTCGAACGACTGTGGATACACTGCATGAGAGCAGTACCATCCACCCTCCACCAAATGATGAAATTCCCAACAAAGGACGGGATCAAAACCGTCTACGGGGAACAGCACGCGGCAAGGGAAATGTTTGCGGTGCACGATGTGGCACCGGTACCAATACCTCCACTCACGAAAGAGATAAAGGGTAATCAAAATACATCTTTGGTTAGACCCGATTAAACATAACAGAGGACCATACCATGTCCTCATTACAAGCTATAAGGACGTATCAGACATCGGAACATCGCCGGCACATCCCACACTAAGGTACGACCGTCTCCTTTTTTTATTTTTTTATTTTTCTCGCACTAACCCTTATGCAGGCGCCCGATCAAAGCAGTCAAAGTGCTGACCCAGCCCGAAGACCTTAAGGTTTTAAAGCATCCGTTGCACTCTTTTCCTTCGACCGAGTTTTTTGTCCCGAAGAGGGTTTTACCGGCAAGGTTTTTAACGAGGCAACGCCTATGTGCTACCTAAGGAAGATCCAAATAAATGTTCGAGGATTCTCTTGCAATCAACCTCGAACACTGGAGGACATCCCCCCAGAAGATCATCCACTCGGAAAAGCCAAAAAATGCCAAATGGGGCCTCAATAGGAAAATGATGTACCAGACCAAACGGTCGAATGAGCCGTGTCCGTATAGCCGTGCCCCCGATGGCGGAGACATATGTACTTGTATCAAGTAATCAAAGAATACCTTTATCGAAGCATCTCATACTCCAAAGGAAACTTAGCATTTTCGCAAAAACCATCCCTCCATCAAAACGTCCCGAGCATTCGGGGACTAGCGTCGACAATTCAGCACCTGAACGACCTCCGGGTCAGGACTCCAAACTCATAAGCCCTCAACGAGGCAACATGAAAATCATGAAACATCTCCAAGGCCGAAAGTTCCCCGAATACTCAAGGCTGGCGTCAAAATCTCAAAAACGCACGACCTAAGTGTCGGGATCTCCAAAATTGTAAGCCCTCAACGAGGCAATACGAAATCTACAAGTGACGACTTCCGAGCCAAGGTACCCTCGATGACTCGGGGACTGTCGCCAATCGCCATTCATTAAAAAACCCGAGGCCATAAGACCTCGAGCGGGCAGACTCGGTCTCGTAAGACCTACATAAGGCAACAACAATATCTGTAAGACCTCAAGCAAGGCATGAACAATACTTGTACCAAGTATCCAAAACTGCAAGACCTCAAGCAAGGCATGAACAATACTTGTACCAAGTATCCAAAACTTTAAGACCTCAAAGGCATGAAAAATTTGTAAGACCTTACTACAGGCATAAACTCGATCCCAAAGTTTAGGCTATATATCGAACTTGTAAGAACCCTAAAAAGGCATACCCTCGAAATAGACACCTAAGCTACTTCACTCGGGACCAAAAATGGCTCCGGCCAAGCACAAATGACTACGGTCATACAGCTGTACTAGCCAGACTAACGCGACTCGGGGACGCCCGACCGTCGCTACAAAATCACAGGCCATTACTTCAAATCTACTTCGAAAAGAACCGGTTAAATAGGCTACCCTCGACATAGGCAAAAGAGCTTCGACCATGTCAGCTCCACATCATTGGCTTCGACATACTCAGCCTCCGAGCCAAACCTCCCGAGGTGCTCGATCATCGCCACGAAACGACTCAAAATCGAGGTTCTTCCCGAACCGACGACGGGCCAGAAAAATATTACTCCAAACGTCCTTAACGAGAGGAAAACTTGAGGGTCGATTGAGCTCGAGCCGAAACCCGACTCGGAGACTGAACCCAAAACAATTAACTACATATGCCTAAGGGCAAGGCGTAAGAGCCATAGTCGCCAGCCCACATAAAAGATCGCTTCGATCAAAGGCATAAGAGCCATTGTCGCCAGCCCACGCAAACATAAAAGCTTGAGGGTCAAATGGGCTCGAGTCATAATCCGACTTAGGAACTAAACCCAAAATAGTTGAGCAAAAGCGTAAGAGCTCAAATGCCAGCTTATACAAAAGGTCGCTTCGACCGAGCGCGTAAGAGCCCCCGGGCCAGCCTAATGAGCCCTAGGGCCATATCACGAATCTAAAGATTCTCACCAACTCTGAGACCAGTTCACCGGGCCAAATTCGAGACAGAAAGGGGTACAGATGAAGTAAAGCCACAAGGTTTTCTTTGATGCGCATGTGCGAAAAAACACATTCTCCATCTACAAACATGCTCTGAAAATGCTACATACAAAATGGCAAAATCTATGCCCTACCCCTGAGAGCTACGGCCTACCGGCCTCATCTTCACTCTCCTCGGTGCTAGACAGAAGCAACCGAGCACCGCGCTCGTCCGCCCTCGCTCGCGCCAACTCTTCTTGGAGGACAAAACCCCTAGCGCAGATCTCCTCGAGAATCTTTCTTCGAGACTTGCAACAAGCATATTTTTTAATCCTCTCCTCGCGATCGAGGATCCTCCTCAACTCGGCTTGAGCATCGGTAGCGTCCTTCAAATAAATCACCATCTCCTGATCAGCCTTAGTTTGGCTCAGTGCTGCTCCTGTCCGGGCATCAATGATCTCAGAAGCTAAAAGGCGGAACGCACACGCACCCGGGATGGAAAATTACCTGCTCCATCAAGTATCTCTCGTAATTCGAGCTCCGGCATGCCTCATATCGCAAGTGCGCCAGCACGACTTCCTTTTCCTCGCAAAGGAGCCTAAGGGATTTATCCTCATCCAGAGCTTTCCGGAGCCTGGCTCCATGACGGAGCAGCTCGGACCTAAGCCTGTCAAAATCCTGCAAAAGAAAACTCGATAAGGAAAGAAAGACGCGGGATTCAAAAGGCCAATGTCGAAACTCACTGCGAAGTGAAGCCGACGGACTTCCTCGAAGGCCGAGGGAAAATCTGTTAATCTAGTCCCCTCAGCCCTGGAAGAAGCGACTCTGGTAGAGGCACAGTCGCTCGGAGAAACCACCTTTCCAGAATCAGGAACTACAGGTGCGGCGGGCTCAAATGGAATTTCCGTGTCGAAGCCCCGGCTGCGTTTTGCCTCACTGTGAGCGCCATCGCCCTGCGAAGGCATATCCCGCTTATTATTGTCATTCTTTAGCCCGGGAGCTGGCAACCCCTCCCCCTCTCCGGAGGAGCACGACCTCGCCTCAGAAGGCTCTCCGATACCTACGGCAGCAAGATTAATACGCAGAAAGGGAAAATGTCTCTCCAAATGAGTGAAGGATAAGGAAAAAATAGTACAAACACACACCGTGATGTTTTGCCTCCCATCTGCCCCGGCACAAAGTTCGCCACTTGCGCTCGTCGCAGGTCGAGTGGGTCACCAACTTCCGGACCTAACCAGGTACATCAGGAACCTCGCCTGGCGCCCATGAAACCGCTACAGAAAAGAAAAAACACGGTTACAAAACTAGCCTTCGCCATAAACGAATCTGAGAAGGCACGGGATGTACCACTTACGTGTACAGTTCTATTCCTCGAGGAATGGCATAAGTTCCACAGGGATAATGTCAGCAGTTCGGACCCGGACGAACCGACTCATCCACTCCCGATCTCCATCTTCCTCATCGTCAACAACAAATGGCATGGTCGACCGACACCGCAAGGTTAGCAGACCTCAGTAGTGAAAGGGCCGATACAACCTAATGAGATGACTAAGCGTAAATTCAAGCCCCGCTTTCTCCGCAAAGAACCTCATCATCAACACTACTCGCCAAAACGACGGATGTATCTGCGCCAAGGTAACCCGATACTTTAAACAGAAGTCGAGCACAACCCTATCGAGGGGGGCCAGTGTGAAAGGATACGTGTACACATTCAGGAATCCATCAACATGATCCGAGATGCCCTCATCCGGGGAAAGTGTCTGTAACACTACTCTCTCCCCCCGTCTGCAGTCTCTCCTCACTAACTCAAGGTGCCCCTCTCCCATTGAAGAAATAATCTTCAAGGTAAACTCTCTTTGATCCTGAGCATCGGGAGCGGAACACTCCCCTCTCTGCCGAACAGGCCCCGATGTAGCAGTCATGGCTATGGCGAGACTAGAGAAGTGAAGCAGAAACCTGTGCAAATGCTTCAGCGCTGAGGTAATGAAGGGCTCAACGCTGAAATGGGAGGATAACTATCTAAAATGGTGAGATCTCTAAAGGAGCGGAAGCGGCCCTATATATGGAAAGAAACGACAGCGACCCGCCTGCCCAAGAAGCTAATGGCATCATCGCCAATCCCGAGCTAGTACCCGACCTCGAGGATCTCCGTCTAAAAGAAGATAGCTCCAAGAAGCGAACAACATCGTCGCCAATCCCGAGGTGGTACCTGACCTTGAGGATCTCCATCTAAAAGAAGATAGCTCCAAGAAGCTGACATCATCATCGCCAATCCCGAGGTGGTACCCGACCTCGAGGATCTCCATCTAAAAGAAGATAGCTCCAAGAAGCTAACACCATCGTTGCCAATCCCGAGGTGGTACCCGGCCTCGAGGATCTCCATCTAAAAGAAGATAGCTCCAAGAAACTAACGGTATCGTCGCCAACCCCGAGGTGGCACCCGACCTTGAGGACCTCCATCAAAGAGAGGAATTGGGCTCTAGGAAACCAATGACATCGTTACAAGTCTCGAGATGGTGCCCGACCTCGGGGACTTTCTCCAAAAGGGAATCAGGCCCCAGGGAAATAAACATTCGAGCTCCACCCATATAGGCTTGGCCCCGAGGTACCGTCAGAGCTCGGACAAACCTCCTCCAGGATCTATCTAGAGCGCCTTAAGGCTATCTACCCTAAGTTCAAAACAAGTTTCCAGGAGGTCCGGATTTGTGCGAACCTCCACCCAGGGACTGCCCTCGAAAGTTCGAAGGCAATCCTTGTCCACGGACCTCCGAGCAAATTTCTCCTCAAAGATTTCCATGGAGCCTAAATGGTAATTCACGGTTTTATGGCTCAAAGCGTTGCATTTATTCGACTCAAAGTAAGGGGTTCAAAGACCCGGGCATATCGGCCCGATCCAGGCTCGAAATTGGCACCGACGGTAGAGCCATACATTCGAAATCTTCATAAACAAAAATAAAAGGAAACACACCAAGCGTCAAATACAAAATTGTAGAAACATCTTTGTATTCATAAACATCCAATTACAAAAGCCCACGAGGGGTCCTTACATATGATTACAAAAGCCCGCAAGGGGTCCTTACACGGAAACAAGGAAGCAAAAGGGTAAGCATAGCAAAAGTCTAAGAGCTTAGCCTACTCTCAAGGTGCGACCTCGGCAGCAGCGTCTTCAGATAACATCCCCTCGGGCGCACGACCTCAAAGACAATATCTTCCAAGCGCCGTCCCCTCGAGAGTCTCGTCTCGACCCTCCAGAATGGCATCTTCAAAAGGGAAGATGTAGAAGGGGAAAGCAATGGAGAAGAGCAAAGTGACAAAGGAGAAGTCGAAAGGGGCGAAGAAGTGGCTGGGTGAAAAATCTGGTTGGTATGAACTTCGCCAGTATTACTATTGCAAAGCCACTTCTTGGGACGTTGTCCCGGCACGGGATACAACAGTTAGTAGATAGTATCACCACACCCCAAGGAAATAAAAAAGGGTGTAGTGCACCGGGCCGGGGTAGGAGGGTGAGCAGCGGAGTATAGTCCGATCACCCTCGTGAGCAGCGGTGTATAGTCCAAACACATTCCACAGAAAAAAGAGATCGGCCTCCCTGTCTCATCATCTCGGAACAACAACAACAACAGCAACAACAACGAAATAGCAAAATCTCGCTTGAATGAGGGAAGTCCCGGAGGTAGGCCTTGGCACGGCCGACAGAAGCACCGCCATACAATCACGAGGCCACGGGCCTCGGGCATGGCGGACGGCAGCGTATAAGGGTGGAAAGAGGAAAAGGTAGGGTAAATATGGGAAGGCACTTGAATGAAAGGTTAATCCCAGGAGGATCCCATTTATAGGAAGGACGATAGCGTAACCGACGTTGATATTATTTTCGAAAGGCGTAACGGTAGGCGCAGTTAATGCGTCCTTGGGAACTGAATGGCGACGGCTTTATAACTCTGATGAGCGAAAAATCATAACACTTTTAATGATTTTGGTAAAGCGAAATGACGGGACGCTTTCGGCTATCGCGAAGGCTTACGTCATAAGTTGACATCATCAGTGTGACGCCATCATAGGAAGCCCAAAGAATCGGGGGTCAAATTCGTTTCTTATCGTTCCTCTCTAAGAAACGCGGGGACTATCTGTATACGACGAAATCAAAAGGTCCGTTTTCTTGTCATTAAGGCACTTCGGAAGGTCACCTCGAAGGCTCGAGGCCACAGTTGAATATCCTCCCTCGAGGGTCGTCAACACCCGACCCCAGGACGATGCAAACTGCGACTATGATGAAGATGGGGAGTTCCCAATGCGCACGGCTAATACTGACAGGGTCTAGCCGGTCTACTCTGAACCCGAATCAGGGTGTCATGTTTAGTTGTCCCATCCCCCATCTTTACAATTAATGCAGTTTATACTATGTAGGGACTCCCCTCCTATATAAAGGGGATCCTTGTTATTTTGTAGAGGTCTGTTGCTCCAATTACTCAACACGAAATATAGAAGAACATTCTCTTTTCTCTCTAACATATTCTCTTGATATTATTGCCCTCATTTATTACATTCATACTTGTTCTTCATTTATTGCTTATCATTGGCCATAAAAAGCCTTCGTTGATTATCCTACAACTGTTAGCCCTTCCCCGATTACCCTTAGAAGCTCGAGCCCGAGCCCGAGCCCTAATTGGCTAGCTCATCGGTTTGATTATAGCTCTATCTTTAGCTCGCATTTCGTCTCTAAATTTCATACACATAGCATCATCCGCTTAAGCAACTACCATAAAATAGACGTATTTTTCGAGTCTCATCAACAAATTTAATTGTTATTACCATTTTCATGGTAAACAAGTATAAAACATGCTATTTACTTGATAATCAAATTTAAAAGTAGACGCACATATGTACGTACTAACTCTTCATGAGTAACGTATTTTCAGAAACAAATTTTCCTCCAATAGTAGAAAATATGTGTACAATGATAGATTATGGACAAAAAGTAATAACAATATGTTTGAAATAGTAAGTCAAAAATTTTAACATTTTCAGATTTAATTGAGAATAATCTTTCGATTTTTGTGCACAAAACTTACTAATATTAGTCCGGATCTTATCATTCTCGAACCAGTCGAACTAGTGAACAGTTTATTACAAGTTTCCAACTATCTCATTTCCACCAAAAGTTACCGAATTTCTTATCTTATTGTATGAAGTGTGGCAAGAATGTAAAGCTTAAAAAATGAAAGAAGTTGAACAAATTAGAAAGAGAAAGTACGGAGCTAGTGACTTTTAGAGGCCCATTAACTCAAACTCAAACGTTAAAATAGCACGGACTAGCCAATTTTCAGACTGGTCATTTAAAAATGGCCAGTGTTTGCCAAGTCATTGAAAAATAGCCATTATTTTGCTGCAACAGAGACCGGTCCAGCATAATATACTGGAGGTCGGTGCACCTGTGTCTGAACTTCCAGCATATTATGCTGGACCGGTATACTTTGCTGGTTCCAGTATAATATACTAGAGTTCCAGTATATTATGCTGGAGTATTTTCTGGATGTTGTGTTAGTTTCAAGGTTTCACGTATTAATTTTGGTGATAACAAACCAACATAATTATTAATCAAAGAACATTTACTTGTGGTAATCTTATTTTTGCACAGGTTTATTCAAGAAAGAATATGCCGGTAAAGATCCAAACAAATATGGGAAAGAGAATATCATGTGATGAATTTATCGAGGAAGATTATTTTCAGAGATTCAATCTCCAAGCGTCATGGAAGGAATAATATTTGAAAGTCATATTTCAAATATTGAATGGTTTACTACAATATCAGAAGAAGACTCTACGAAAATTATGGAAGGAAAGTTCTTAAATATCTTGAAAGGAAGGTTGCTAAAATCATGGAGAAGATCTATTATTTTGTGCAAGATACTATATGGAAAAGATACTACAAGATCAAGAAAGGAATATTTTCAATATAAGAAGAATATATTTTCTATGGAAAGAAAAATATATTATGGATGTATTACAATCTATATTATGGAAAGAGATTATTTCCCAAAATCAAGAAAGGAAATTATTTTTATAGTTGTGGAGATAATAAATGGTTATTGGGATCTTCATATTGAAGACAATACTCAAAATCCAATGTCAAAGGAAGAGGATCTTGAAATTCTCTTGGGTTATCTAAATAAGAGCCGATATTTGTACATATGGAAGAAGAGTTCAAGTGGAAGAATAATTATTCTGACAAAAATATATCACGTAGAAGGAAAGAGATATACTTGTTACATGTGTGGTATGACAATGCTAGATTTGCTACAATACTAAGGAAAGGAAGCTGTTGAATGACTTACTACAAGCTATATCTTGGAAGGAGTAAATCAGGGATCATACTTAAGAATGTGCAGGCAGAGAATCACCAAGCTCTTTCAAGGAAGAAAAATTCAATATACACTGGTGCATGGTTGACAACAATTCAAATGGAAAGCTCTCATTTTATGGATATACAATAATATTGTCTACTTCACAAGGAAAGAAATCAAAGGAGCTTAAGGCATGGAATCCAGAATATCAGCAAATTGGAAATATATTTGAATCCATTAGCAAGACACATCATCAATCAATAGGTAAAAGATATAAGGAATAGATTTCAATAGATCAGTGATTGGTGGAATGATTTCAAATTAGTTTGAAGGTGCAAATGGAATTGAGCAAAGGAATTAATAGGAAGTTACGGTGGTATCTCTCAATCAAAGGAGAAATCTTCTAATTGAATATTATCGAAATCAAGGGGTCAGCAAAATCAAGCCCAACGGTCAGAAGCTATTGAAGACAATAAGAACGAGAGACTGGGAAAGAAGAAGAACGCAGCCTTCTATATAATTGTCTATCCAACTACAAGTTCTTTACTCTACTCTTAACAAGCATGTAATTTACTTTAGTAGATTTAATGTGTACCCAAAATAGAGAAGAGAGACATAAAAATATTGGAGAGGCAGTGTGTCCTAGAGGTTGTGTCATTATCCGTTTCTTTGGTGAGCAAGTGAAAACCAAAGGGTCGTTGTTGGTGAGCGAGTGAAAACCAACCCTCTCAGTATTGGTGGTGATCGCTGAAAATCACAAAGGCTGTACTCAATTCAATTTATAAAGAGCTCTAAAAGATAACACTCTTGCAACCCAAGAGTACTGATTGGGATACCATAATTGTTCCGAACCAGTATAAAATTCCTGGTGTCATTTACTTTATCGTTCTCGTATTATATTATGTTCCTTTACTGTTTATTATGATTAATACTTGTTTAAATCGAAAAAACTAACAGTTCGGTGCAGGCTGTCTACGCATAAGTCGACTAGGTCTAAAGAGTAGTCGACTAGAAATTTAAAAAGGCTACAATTCACCCCCCC